CGGAGGTCGAACAGATCTTTGAGATGAAGGGAACAGCACGGTGGAGATTAAAAACGTCAATAGAAATATTTTAAAAAATAATACTCCAAATTTACTTCTACAAAGCTTAAATAAATTTGTTCAATGCACTGTACATAAGAATGTGTGAAGATAAGACACTATGTACAAGCAAACTGCACATTTTTGTTGTTCGATACAGGTTTTTAAAATGTGTACGAATATTTCCGCTGAAAAGGAGTTTTATAGTGTAGATTTCTTTAGATTAAAAAACACAAACAACAAAATCAAAGCAGGCTAAAACCCTACAATTAAATCTGTTAGTCTTGTACATTCTCAAAATGATACACAAGATAAATTAGGGGCCAAAACACATGTGCTGAAAAATAGGAGCAATTTCTCTCTATAAAAAAATCACTTTGCTATGAAAAAAACTATCTATTATAATAATAAAGGTTAAGTTTTGTGAGAGAATGTTAAGATAACTTATCACAGGGAAATACCACATAATATTATTATAACATGATTATTCAGGAAAAGATGGCACAATGGAGAGGATTTCATGGCACAATGTACAACTAACTCATATGGAATGGAGAGCCTATACACACAAACATGAAGTTCAATTCATTTTTTACAGTCTTCTTTCACTATAAAATAGACAATTTTTAAACAATTCCTTCTAAAAGAGTAATCTAAAGAGGGTCATGATAGCATACACTGAACTTGAGAATTACTGAAACTTTCAACATTTCAAGTAATGTGGTTTATAAAAAATTTCAATGCTACTAAAAATCACTAAAGTTTGAATGTCCATAGATTCTAGGTATAAAAAGCGATTGGATGCATGAAGGGAAGGCAGGTAGTCACGTAACAATTGTTAAAAGTACAGTACAATCACATATTGAGAGAATAATTATATGAGTTACACAAAGAATACTCCAATTCACTCAGATTGATATTAGAAAATTGCATGGTACAAATAAAATAATTTGACACAAAAAGCACCTACTTATTTTACAAACACTCAACCACAAGTGTACTTCAACATGAATCAAAATGCACATTCTTTTCACGCTCTCACAGGACTTCTGGCAAAAGATTGGTACATAGTTTTGTATTGCTTGCTTTGGTTTTGTCAATAAGATTTACCACTGTAAAGCCTCTGTTTTGAGATGATCTATTTTCGTGAAAAGTAAAGCATATATAGCAAAAATTTTAACCAACACGTCAACCAAGTAATGTGACTGACAGTGGTAAGATATTTGCTGAAAAAATTATCATGACTTTGAAAATGACTTAGATTAGTTCCCATGGCTTGGGGCTTGTCAGCACGCACACGATTTGCCGTTGGGCGGTTCTCCGTTTGCTTTGCCATTGGGGTCTAACGCTATTTTTGTCGGGTCTTTTGTGTCGTTTCCGTGCAGCAACTTGTCATTGAGAAGGATCTGAAATACAAGAAAACATGGTTAATTAATTAATTAATTGTTCTGGAGCAGTTTCCTTAGAAATGCCCCACGAAATCGCCTGAGCCTGAGCGCCTGTCTGGTGTATGTCTGGTGGATGTAGGCACACCATCATGCTTGCAGGTGTGACAGAACGGCCTACCTCACAGGCGCTCCCACAGATGAAGAAACCGTGATTACATTCCATATCGACGATTTCCAAGACAATTTGTCGATTAGGCACAGTTTATCCAGTCAGATTTTCCACAAAAAAAGAACTTACCTTAGACACCAACGCTCGAGCAGCCTCCTCGATGTTGACGTTCTCTTTGGCTGAAGTCTCAAACCAGCCAGTGAAACCTTTCTCCTTGCAGTACTCGTCCATTTTTGGTGGGTTGTTTACCAGACCCTCCTTCTGCTGGTCACACTGCAAGACAAGAGAGATTTTAGTGTAATCAAATCATGGCGCTGCTGCTTTCTTGGCGTCGTAATTAGCTTCTTTGTTCATTATTTTACCCTCCCCCCCCACCCCCCGAATGCAGAGTTAACGTGACGGGTGCGAGCCTCACCTTGTTGGCCAGGAGCACGCAGGGGATGGGTGAGCCATCCGCCATCTGCACCTTGGAGTCCAGGTCTTGTTTCCACTTCACCACAGCGTCGAAAGTGGACGCCCGGGTAACGTCGAACACGATGAATGCGCCCACAGCCTCCTTGTAGTAGACGCGGGTCATGTTGCCGAAACGCTCCTGACCTGTGTGAGGAATTTTCAGTTAGGAGACCCTTTGTAAATGAGGGAGACAAGTTATAAGTAAGTACCACCCTAAAAAAACTTGTTGGGACAACGTAGGGTTGCCGCCAGCTCATCACCCCCAACCACTCACCTGCTATGTCCCACAGCTGCAGGCGAATGATGGTGGCCGGGTCCCAGTTGAGCACCTTGAGCGCGAAGTCGACGCCGATGGTGGCCCGGTAGTGCTGCGAGAAGAACTGGTGCACATATCGCTTGATGATTGAAGTCTTCCCCGTGCCGAGCTCGCCGATCACCAGGATCTTGTACAGGTGCTCGCGCTTCTCGCCAGACATCTGCGCCTGCAGACAACAGAAAGGGGGTAAAGTTAGCGAGGCCGGGGTCAGTGCAGAGACAATAACACGGTTCCAGATCGAATCTCCACCACACAGATAACGGTTGTGAGGCACCCCCCCCCCTAAATTTGAAAACGGAAGAGAAATCAGAAATCGCCGCCTCGGCTACGCATGAAAGCCTCGATGTGTAGACCCTCCTTACAAAGCAGTCAAACGGCGAGGGCTCCACGATCAAAGGCGAAACTGGCGCGTTATCTCGCCAATCTAGGGAGTCGTCCATCGAGCGCCTCATCATGGGGCCCATGAGGCGCAGCCGCCCGCGCCTGGACCGCATCTTGAGGCCGGGGCCGGGGGAGTAGGGAGGGAAGGGGGAAGTCCTCGGGCGACATATACTTCCACAAGGGCCAGGAAATAAAATCGCTCACGGCCACCAGTTCATGTGAATGAAATGTGAAGAGTCAGAGGTAAGTGCGGCAGGGGCGTTATATCTATTCCCCTGTCAGTCACGTGGAAGTGAGGCGGTTAGGTCGGGGCCGGTCGGAAAAAAGGAGGGGGGGGAGAGTGGAGGGGGCTCACAAAAGCAGCAGGAGCAGCCTCGGCCCAAAGGACGGGGAGCGCTCAGGACAGGACTCTCCGGAATACTGCTGGAGCCTGGCCTGCTGGAGCACGGCGTCCGGGCAGCCAACGCCTGGCCGTACGCCATGCGTTACATAAGTGACCGTGGGGTCCTGCAGGCCGAGCCGAGCCGAGTTGAGCCGAGTCGAGCCGAGCCGAGCCGAAGCCGAGCCGACAGTAAGCTGAACCGGAGTGGAGGAGCCAGGCATAGTCAGGGTCGCGAATGAATTCAAAATGACCGGAGGTCGAACAGATCTTTGAGATGAAGGGAAC